TGGCTGTGTAGGAGGTTATATATTTGTATTTGTGCATACCATAGAGCCAACAGGTTGTGAAGAAGGTGCCGTACGTATAACTGATGGACTGATTGAGAATGAAGGGAGACTGGAGGTGTGTGTTGATGGAGTTTGGGGTAGCGTCTGTGATGATGGGTGGGATAAAACTGATGCTCATGTTGCATGTCAACAGTTAGGATTCTCAGAGCTAGGTATTAATAATACTTACTTTAAACTGATACTGTATTGCATTAATACAGAGCCTGAAGCATATTTTGGTTCAAAATTTGGAGTATCTATTGGACCAATTGTGTACTCTAACATAAAATGTGGCGGTTGGGAGACTAGCCTTGACGAATGTGCTAAAACTAATTACGTTAATTTTACTTGTCCTGGAGATAGGATTGCTGGGGCATTCTGTCTTGATGGTTAGTACTTGGACTGTATGGACATTAGTATATTCTCATGCTTTTTTGTTTACTTAAAATGTTATAGGATGCAGGAATGGTGACATTAGATTATCAGGCTATAATCAATTTGAAGGAGTTGTACAAATTTGTGTTGACAATGTTTGGGGTGTTATCTCTGGTGAGAGTTGGACTTATGGTAATTCATTAGTTATTTGCCGTCAACTTGGTTATGATAAAAGTAAGAGCTCTTATGATACTAGAGTCTACACTTTCTCTCCCTTTTTATAGGTAGACCTGATGTTTTAACTTATGACACTAAAAATTATAATCAAAGAAGAGCTGTATTTCTATCTAATGTTACTTGCAATGGAATAGAATCCTCACTGGGTGACTGTGATAAAATATTATATCCACTAAATGTTGCAAAGCAATTAGCTGAGACAACTGATGAAGTAGCTGCTGTCGCCTGTATCTCATGGACACTGGAGCAGGGATCATCATCCATGACTATACTGACTACAGTGACACAAAGCAGTGAAAGTACCAGCAGTGTTTGGCCTACATTGGCTGCACAGAATAAGTCTAATGATCCTTACTTTATAGCATTTTGTATCCTGTGTGGTGTAGTGTTGCTGCTCCTTATTATTGTGTAGGTTGATATACTACATGTATATATACATGTAGTATAATATCAAGCTTATTTTACCATTTCTTTTCAGGTTTGTCATGTTTGGGTCAAAAGTGAGGAACTATAGGAAGAAAAGGAGACTCACAAGTCGTCCCCTTCCATCAATACAACTGACTAATGTTGATGCAAGATACCAGACGGTTAATGAGGACGATGATGATGATAATGATGATCTCAAAAATGTATCTCAAGATGAATTTCCAGCCACAT